CTTACATCCCGGAGAAGGTAAAACGGGAATAGAAATGCTGTCCTGTGGACTTACATCCCGGAGAAGGTAAAACGGGAATAGAAATGCTGTCCTGTGGACTTACATCCCGGAGAAGGTAAACGGGGAATAGAAATGCTGTTCTGTGGACTTACATCCCGGAGAAGGTAAACGGGGAATAGAAATGCTGTTCTGTGGACTTACATCCCGGAGAAGGTAAACGGGGAATAGAAATGCTGTTCTGTGGACATATTTCCCGGAGAAGGTAAACGGGGAATAGAAATGCTGTTCTGTGGACTTACATCCCGGAGAAGGTAAACGGGGAATAGAAATGCTGTTCTGTGGACATATTTCCCGGAGAAGGTAAACGGGGAATAGAAATGCTGTTCTGTGGACTTACATCCCGGAGAAGGTAAACGGGGAATAGAAATGCTGTCCTGTGGTCATATTTCCCGGAGAAGGTAAAACGGGAATAGAAATGCTGTCCTGTGGACTTACATCCCGGAGAAGGTAAACGGGGAATAGAAATGCTGTCCTGTGCCTTTTGGAGCACCGTCAGGTTAATTAGTAGCTGCTGTCATATACAGAAATCATTCATTTGTTTTATAATATACAGTTTCTTAACCTCCCTGGCGGTCTGATTCTTTCCGATTTTTTGTGCTGAAAGTGGTACCATTTTTTTGCATGGAAATATGTAGTTTTTTATTGTAGACTGTAATTTTTAGGAATAACTCACTGAAATCTGTCCGAACAAGAGTCTAGTAAACATCCCGGGGAGGATAAAACTTGAAACATGAAATCATAAATTATAATTTAATAAATAATCATAAAAAATAATAATATAATAATAATAAATTTAATTCAATAATATAATCAAACCAAAAACACTGAAATTTGAAATACAGAGGCAAATTCGCACATCGCTGAGCAAAGTCGCAGAATCGTTTTCAGTGTCTGATGAGGAATTTCCCCCACGAATCATTATCACTCAATTCTGCAAGTGGTTCTGATTTACTATCGCTGCTCTAAAACCGCTTTTGACGTAAAGGGACGCTTTTTGGACGCCATGGACTTTTCTAAGTTTCTAGGCAGAAAGAACAGTCAAAATGCAGGCAGGGGACAGGACAAAGCACTCGGGACAAAATGTATGTGAAATGCATTAAAACAGCAATGACAGCAAAAATTACATTTTTTTAAAAATTTCAAATTTCCCGCCGGTTCCAGCGCCCGTACGTCCCGACGTCACAGGGACCGGAACACGGAAGCCGGATGCCGGCATCGGCCCGGAGGAGATGGCCGGGGACGCTGCAGGGGACACATCGCGGAAGCGAAGGACAAAGTAAGTGCTGCAGGGACCCCCAGAGCAGCGCCGCATGGTAAGCCCAAGTGTAGCTGGCGGGGGGGTTACCGCTCTTGGTATTGAAATTTTACGCCGAGCTACACTCGGGATTACCGCCAGGGAGGTTAAACAGACAACACTGCTCAAATATTATAATGGGCAAGGTGTCTGCTACCATTACTGCCCATAGAGTGTCCTGTACTAGATGCTATGGCATCCTCGGTGTGCTGGAAGACAACAAAGGGCACCCTGCCATTCCCTCCCACTAGCTTCGGTTAATGAAAAGTGCAGTAAAGACCCTGTGATGACATCACAGGGATTAGAACTAGTGATGCACCGATCGTCCGCAGAAAATGACTGGCCGAAAAAAGTGTTCTCAGCTGTGCCGATAATAATTGACTTTAATGCAAAATCGCGTCCCACGGACTTCAATGCTAAAAACGCCCCCTATTTAAGGGTTTTAATTTTATATACAGCCCTGGCCAAAAGTTTTGAGAATATTAATTTACCTGAAAGGAAACCGGTGCAGTCATCATTGTTCTGCACAAAAAGGGATTCACAGACAAGGATGTTGCTGCTACTAAGATTGCACCTAAATCAATCATTTATCGCAACACCAAGAATATCAAGGAGAGAGGTTCAGTTGTGAAGAAGGCTTCAGGACACAGCCAAGAAAGTCCAGCAAGCGCCAGGACTGTCTCCTAAAGTTGATTCAACTGCGGGATCGGGGCACCCCCCAGTGCAGAACTTGCTCAGGAATAGCAGCAGGCAGGTGTGATGCATCAGAATGCACAGTTGAGGTGAAGACTTTTGGAGGATGGCCTGGTGGTGTCAAGAAGGGCAGCAAAGAAGCCACTTCTCTCCAGGAAAACATCAGGGACAGACTGACACTCTGAAAAAGGTACAGCGATTGGACTGCTGAGGACGGGGTAAAGTCATTTTCTCAGATGAATCCCCTGATTGTTTGGGGCATCCAGAGAAAACCTTGCCCGGAGAAGAAAAGGTGAACGCTACCATCGGTAGTGTGTCATGCCAACAGTAAAGCATCCTGAGACCATTCATGTGTGGGGTTGCTTCTCAGCCAAGGGAGCGGGCTCACCCACAAATATTAGAACACAGCCATGAATAAAGAATGGTATAAAAACATCATCCAAGAACGACTTCTCCCAACCACGCAAGAACAGTTTGGTGATGAACAATGACTTTTTCCAGCATGACGGAGCACCATGCCATCAGCCAAAAGTGACAGATAACTTAAGTGGCTTGGGGAACAAAACATCAACATTTTGGGTCCATGGCAAGGAAACTCCCCAGACCCCAGAAGAGGCAGGTGAACAAAAAAAAAAAAAAAAAACAAAAAAACCCCAGAAATTCTGACAAACTACAAGCACCGATCATGCAAGATTGGGCTGCCATCAGTCAGGATGTGGCCCAGAAATTGAATGACAGCATGCCGGGGCGAATTGCGGAGGTCCTGAAAAAGAAGGGTCAACACTGCAAATCTTGCCTCTTTGCATAAACAATGTATTGTCAATAAAAGCCTTTGACACTTATGAACTGCTTGTAATTATACTTCAGTACACCATAGCAACATCTGACAAAAAATTTTTTAAAAAACAATGAAGCAGCAGACTTTGTGAAAATTAATATTTGTGTCATTCTCAAAACTTTTTGTCCAGGACTGTACATTTCATTTTCTGTCCAATTTTTGTGAGTTACTTTCAATAATAGTTATTTTGCGTTACTGGATTGCATTTTTACAAAAAAAAAAATATTTTTGCTTTATTATACGAGTTTAGAGATAGGAGTTTAAATATGCTAATAACATTGTCCAGAGTTCAGCTTTAAAATGTGTTTAACCACTTCCTGTCCAGACACTTTCACCCCCTTCCTGTCCAGACACTTTCACCCCCTTCCTGTCCAGACACTTTCACCCCCTTCCTGTCCAGACACTTTCACCCCCTTCCAGTCCGGACACTTTCGCCCCTTCCAGTCCGGACACTTTCCCCCCCTTCCTGTCCAGACACTTTCCCCCCCTTCCTGTCCGGACACTTTCCCCCCCCTTCCAGTCCGGACACTTTCCCCCCCCTTCCTGTCCGGACACTTTCCCCCCCTTCCTGTCCGGACACTTTCCCCCCCTTCCTGTCCGGACACTTTCCCCCCCTTCCTGTCCGGACACTTTCCCCCCCTTCCTGTCCGGACACTTTCCCCCCCTTCCTGTCCGGACACTTTCACCCCCTTCCTGTCCGGACACTTTCACCCCCTTCCTGTCCGGACACTTTCACCCCCTTCCTGTCCGGACACTTTTACCCCCCTTCCTGTCCGGACACTTTTACCCCCCTTCCTGTCCGGACACTTTCCCCCCCTTCCAGTCCGGACACTTTCCCCCCCTTCCTGTCCGGACACTTTTACCCCCCTTCCTGTCCGGACACTTTCACCCCCTTCCTGTCTGGACACTTTCCCCCCCTTCCTGACCAGGGCAATTTTCAGCTTTCAGCGCTATCACACTTTGAATGACAATTGCGCGGTCATGCAACACTGTACCCAAATTAATTTTTTACCATTATTTTGAGACAGATAAAGCTTTATTTTGATGGTATTTATTAACCACTGGGATTTTTATTTTTTTTTGCTATGTAAATGAATAAGTCCAAAAGTTTTGAAAAAAAGTGGTTTTTTTAATAAAATTTTGCAAATAAATAATATTTCATCATAAATCTCGGCCAAAATTTATTCCGTTATTTTTTTAGTAAAAAAAAAAAATCCAAATTAGTTTATAACCAAAAATTATAATTTTTAAACATTTTTTTTTTATATGTTTTATTATTTTTTATTTTTTTTTTTACATACTGTCACCCTAGCAGTACAGTGTCGCCATGGTGACACTGTACTACTTGTGGGGGGTGATGAAGATTTTTAATTTTTTTTTACACTGATTGCTTTTACACCCATATAGGATGTAAGAGGAATCATTTCTCCATCTCTCTGTCTGCATTCTTGCAGCCATTGAGAAGTACTGAGTGAGCTGTGATTGGTCACAGCTTGTCACATGGTACAAGGCTGTTGTTAATAGCCCTGTACCATGTGACCTCTGTGATCATTCACAGATTTCACACGTAGTAAGCAATGATGTCACAAGTGACATCTTGCTTACTACTTTGCATGTGATCACTGATTGGCAAATCAGTGATCACATGATCGTGACCTCGTACAGAGGTCCCGTCCGACGATCGGTGTTTCACTGTGTCCGGAGGACACAGTGGGCACCGGATCGCGGTGCTGCGCGCTCCCAGGGAGCGCCCACAAGCAGGGTGCGGGGAGGCCGTTTATGAACGGCCACCCGACCCTGCAGTGCCACCGTCCGGCCGTTTATATGCAACCGCCGGTCGGGAAGTGGTTAAGTAGTAACTTGCATTAATATCGAACAACATGTGCTTGCTCAGTAACTGACCATTGCAATCTAATAAAAAAAAAAAAACCTTCTGAAAAATAAATCACTTCAAACTTGCAGGTTGTATTGGTTAATTTCTCAGCGGTATTACTGGGAAATATGACAAAGTAAGATCCTGAAAACAATACCATTCATTTGTGTTTAAATAAACAGCATATACAGATATAAATGAACAAAAATTACCTTTATCTTTCTTAAAGTCTACAGCATCTTCTTTGTCTGTGACTATTTCCTTCATGTTAATAATGCTCTGATGGTTGAGCTGACGAAGAATCTTAATTTCTCTGATAGCTGTGATGGGGAAACCTTCCTTCTCATTGTCCAAGCGCACTTTCTTCAAAGCCACCATTTCTCCTTTTTGCGGGAGGAAACAGTTATTATACATTGAACTAATAAGCAGATTGCATCACTTCAGCATTACTAACCGTTTTGGCCATACCTAATCAACTGTTTGCCTTAGAAGCTACCGTATTTTTCGCCGTATAAGACGCACTTTTCTTCCCCAAAACTGGGGGGAAAATGTCAGTGCGTCTTAAAAGGCGAATATGGAGCGGCCGGTCCGGTATTTCCACCGCGGGCGTGTCAGAATACCGGGCCGGCCGCTCAGCTCTGCAGCGGGACCTTACCTGTTCCTCTATCCAGCGGCGCGCTGTCTTCCCGGTGTCTGTAGTGTGGGCATGACAGCCGGGTGCCAAGTGCGCATGCGCAAGAAGCGGTGCTTTTTGTGAATGGTAAGGCGGTACCTGGGACACATGACAGATCCCAGAAGCCGCCGGACCAATCACAAAGCGCAAGTGCTTCTCGCTCATGCGCACTGGGCACCCGGCTGTCATGCCGAGCGCCATTACAGAAGACGAGAAGACAGCGCGCGGCTGGATCGAGGAACAGGTAAGATCGGGTACCTGTCAAATTCAGGTACCCGCTCCCCACCTCCCCAAAGGTCAGCAGTCATCTGTACTGTCCGCAGTCTCTGGTCATCCCTGTGCTGTCCGCAGTCTCTGGTCATCTCCTGTGCTGTCCGCAGTCTCTGGTCATCTCCTGTGCTGTCCGCAGTCTCTGGTCATCTCCTGTGCTGTCCGCAGTCTCTGGCCATCTCCTGTACTATGTCTGCAGTCTCTGGTCATCTCCTGTACTGTGTCCGCAGTCTCTGGTCATCTCCTGTACTGTGTCCGCAGTCTCTGGTCATCTCCTGTACTGTGTCCGCAGTCTCTGGTCATCTCCTGTACTATGTCCGCAGTCTCTGGTCATCTCCTGTACTGTGTCCGCAGTCTCTGGTCATCTCCTGTACTGTGTCCGCAGTCTCTGGTCATCTCCTGTACTGTGTCCGCAGTCTCTGGTCATCTCCTGTACTGTGTCCGCAGTCTCTGGTCATCTCCTGTACTGTGTCCGCAGTCTCTGGTCATCTCCTGTACTGTGTCCGCAGTCTCTGGTCATCTCCTGTACTGTGTCCGCAGTCTCTGGTCATCTCCTGTACTGTGTCCGCAGTCTCTGGTCATCTCCTGTACTGTGTCCGCAGTCTCTGGTCATCTCCTGTACTATGTCCGCAGTCTCTGGTCATCTCCTGTACTGTGTCCGCAGTCTCTGGTCATCTCCTGTACAGTGTCCGCAGTCTCTGGTCATCTCCTGTACTGTGTCCGCAGTCTCTGGTCATCTCCTGTACTGTGTCCGCAGTCTCTGGTCATCTCCTGTACTGTGTCCGCAGTCTCTGGTCATCTCCTGTACTATGTCTGCAGTCTCTGGTCATCTCCTGTACTATGTCCGCAGTCTCTGGTCATCTCCTGTACTGTGTCCGCAGTCTCTGGTCATCTCCTGTACTGTTTCTGCAGTCCATTAGTTCAGAATTTTTTTTCCTGTTTTCTGCCTCTAAAACCTAGGTGCGTCTTATGGTCAGGTGCGTCTTATACGGCGAAAAATACGGTAAGTCTACCTTTTTCAAAAATATAACAAAATGCACATATAGTATTGTATATTTTGCAGAAAAAAAAAAAAGTGGTTTGGGAGTGAAGGAGTCCGACTGGCACCATTTTACATCCTAAGTATGGGTGTAACATGCAGCGTGGTCTTAAAGTGACTGTCAAACACGGGCCAATTTATAAATGCATAGTTTATATTTCTATTTCAGAGGATTCCACGGCTTTTAATTGCTTCTGAAATAAATCATTAATTCACATTCATTCAGCTAATGAAAGCTGCACATGAAAAAAATAATGTGCACTGAGAAAGGACATGGACAACACTATCAGCTCTCATACACACATTGGCCAGAAATTCAGGGACAGCGAGCTAACCAACGTAAATAAAAAATAAAGATATTATAAGAAAGAGTGGTGACCCGGCCATAGGATGTACCTCAGGGGAGGTAACGAATGTATACAAACTCCAAATTAAGAACAAATCCTGATTTAAATCATTGTCCTGGAGAAATTATGTAGATCAGAATTCTGGCAAACACCTTAAAGTACTCTGCTCAGAGACAGCCAGGCGGCTGTAGTTTACAAAAGGCAGCCTCTATATTTCTCAGTAGTGTTTAAGAAGCATTCCTAAACGTAAAAAAAGATTGGAAGGGACCATTCTAGATGTGAGAAACTAAAAAAAAAAGTATCACATTCTCAGCAATGAAAAGATAACCACTTAACCTCCTTGGCGGTCTGATTATTTCAGATTTTTGGTGCTGAAAGCGGTACATTATTTTGCATGGAATAATGTATTTTTTTTATTGTAGGCTGTAATTTAGGAATAACTCACTGAAATCTGTCCGAACAAGAGTCTAGTAAACATCCCGGGGAGGATAAAACTTGAAACACGAAATCATAAATTATAATTTAATAAATCATAAAAAATATAATAATAAATTTAATTCAATAATATAATCAAACCAAAAACACTGAAATGTGAAATTTAGCGCCAAGTTCACACATCGCTGAGCAAAGTCGCAGAATCGTTTTCAGTGTCTGATGAGGAATTTCCCCCACGAATCATTATCACTCAATTCTGCAAGTGGTTCTGATTTACTATCGCTGTTCTCTAGGCGGTCTAAAACCGAATTTGACCTAAAGGGACGCTTTTTGGACGACATGGACGTTTCTCAGTTTCCAGGCAGAAAGAACAGTAACAATGCAGGCAGGGCGCCGGACAAAGCACTCGGGACACAATGTATGTGAAATGTTTTACTATGTAATATTCGTTTAGAAAAAAGTGACATTATTTAAAATTTGCCGCCGCCCGTACGTCCCGACGTCACAAGGACCGGAATACGGAAGCCGGATGCCGGCATCGGCTGGAGGAGATGGCCGGGGACGCTGCAGGGGACGCATTGCGGGAGCGAAGAACAAGGTAAGCTCTGCAGGGACTCCCTGAGCAACGCCGCATGGTAAGCCCGAGTGTAGCTGGGGGGGGTTACCGCTTTTGGTACTGAAACTTTACCCCGAGCTACACTCAGGAATACCGCCAGGGAGTAAAAAAAAAAAAAAAAAAAAAAAAAAAAAAAGACTAGAACTGTGCCCAGAAATAAACGGCATAATGCAAAAGAATAGTCACCAGTATTGCTTGTGGTCTCTCTGCAGCTGATCCTTCTCCATTTCTAACTTACAACACATTGTTCTGCACTGTCTAGGTCAGGGGTCTCCAAACTACGGCCCTCCAGCTGTTGAAGTACTACAAATCCCATCATGCCTCTGGGAGTATTGCCTGTAGCTGTCAGAGTCTTGCAATGCCTCATGGGACTTGCAGTTTCTCAACACCTGGAGGGCCATAGTTTGAAGACCCTTGGTCTAGGTGGAGGTGGCCACCTTGGTAAAGCATGAGCTTTGCTTTCTCAAGTAAGAACCTCCAAAAAAGGAGAATATTGAGCATCACAGTACTGGATTTGCCAAATCTCCTGAGAATAGAAGTCAGAGGCAGCAGTGCCTCCAACGAAGGATGTACAGGTATTAGTGCTTAGGCACCCACACACATCAGAAAGTGCACTGCTAGTTTTCAAGAGATATTAAAACACTAAAAGGTATTTTTACATGGTGCAACTTTGACATTAACTATTATTATTTTTAAAACTTCCAAATTAAATATCAAACCTTTGCTTTATGAGTTCAGGTTCACTTTAACATCTACAGCTGGCTAAGAGGGATTCATCATAAACATTTAATTTGACAAAGCAAAACTGACAATTAGCAGCAGCAGAGCTTTTTCTTCTACCACCACCGATGCCCATCGTGACTCTGACATCATCATCACGGGCATATGTCACCCAATCCTACTTCTAATTACTGGATTACGCTGACTGTGTCATCATGGCACCCAGGTCTGGCAGCAGGAAAAGCTGCTTAGGAATAGATAACACCTCCAGTGATATAGTGGCTGCCTCGCACTGTGAAAACAGATGAAAATGTAAGCCTAGGGAAAACAACAGCAGCACAATGCCTTCTGTATGCGCTATATATCTGACGGACTAGCCTCACGCTGTTTGAAGGATAAAAGGTGTCAGAGTATGGACCTGGTTTATCCTTTTGCTGTCACTGACATAAAGGTCAATATCTGACCGACTCCCCACTCCCCAGTGTTCATTCATAACTGAAGGGATAGTAATCATGAACAGGGTGGATAAAAATCAATGATTTTTTTAAAAAAAAAATAAAAAAAATCGGGATTTTTTTTATTTAAATCGGATTTTTTTGAATAAAATGCTTTTTGAGGAAAATCTATTACCATCCAAAGGTTATTCCATCATGAAATAAAGATGAGTTTTGTAATTATGTAGAATAAGGCTGTATATGTTTCATTGTTTTGGTACATAAATCCCATGAATCCATTCACAATGTTGCTCTCCAGAGGTTTCTGTAGGATTATTGGGCAGTTTCTCTGCCTACAAGATATTATCACAGATGATTGGTTTACTTTTGCAGTTCCCAAAACTGAATGTGACTCAGCGGAGATCACATGACTCTTCACAGCAAAAATGTTATAACATGAACAGAGTTAAGAAAAAGACCTTCATCCTAACTTCTACACACCTATGAATACAGAATCAGCCCCTTCAGTGCCAAGGTGCAAGAAGTTCAGTGAATAGAATAGAAACAATATTTTTCTGATTGTTTGGAGTGGAATAGATCTGCACAAGAAGAAAGTGAAACGAAGTGCGAGGAGGGAGGGGGCCGACAGTGCGAGGAGGAGGAAGAGGAAGGGGCCGGAGGAGCGAGGAGGAGGAGGAAGGGGCCGGAGGTGCGAGGAGGAGGGGGAGGAAGGGGCCGGAGGTGCGAGGAGGGGGAGGAAGGGGCCGGAGGTGCGAGGAGGGGGAGGAAGGGGCCGGAGGTGCGAGGAGGGGGAGGAAGGGGCCGGAGGTGCGAGGAGGGGGGAGGAAGGGGCCGACGGTGCGAGGAGGGGGAGGAAGGGGCCGACGGTGCGAGGAGGGGGAGGAAGGGGCCGACGGTGCGAGGAGGGGGAGGAAGGGGCCGACGGTGCGAGGAGGGGGAGGAAGGGGCCGACGGTGCGAGGAGGGGGAGGAAGGGGCCGACGGTGCGAGGAGGGGGGGAGGAAGGGGCCGACGGTGCGAGGAGGGGGAGGAAGGGGCCGACGGTGCGAGGAGGGGGAGGAAGGGGCCGACGGTGCGAGGAGGGGGAGGAAGGGGCCGACGGTGCGAGGAGGGGGAGGAAGGGGCCGACGGTGCGAGGAGGGGGAGGAAGGGGCCGACGGTGCGAGGAGGGGGAGGAAGGGGCCGACGGTGCGAGGAGGGGGAGGAAGGGGCCGACGGTGCGAGGGGGGGAGGGAAGGGGCCGACGGTGCGAGGGGGGGGAGGGGGGGGCCGACGGGGCGGGGGGGGGGAGGAAGGGCCAAATCCACCCTGATGCATGAATGACATGTTTATTATCCCTTCTGTGTGTGAAAGAGCACCCAGTGCTCAGTAGTAGAAACAGGTTGCAGAGAAGGACGACACCAAGGACTCTGTGTCCTCCTCAAACACTGCAGCGCACCAATACACTATGGGGCTCATTCACTCTAGCAGACACATGTTATAATATATGAGTGTGTGAGCCGGTGTGCACGGTGCAAGAGCTCTGCAATGCATTGTTTAAAACACATTGCTTCATTTTACTTTTTTCTATTTTTTTAAAATTGCATTGGACTCTATGCATAGCACCACACTACTGCAGGGAACTTTGCGATTATATTTATTATTATGATAAAATGCATTGTTCTATTACAACCCACACAAATGATAACCACCCATTGGGGTATTTCCCACAATGATTTGGTTGCAAAGCTAACCTCCACATTTTTACTGTAAGTTGCTTATTACAGTTTTGCATGCCTTCAATTTTCACTATTACAGGAAAAAGCAACATTTAGAATGTATAAATATTAGGTATTTATTAAAGCCATAAAGTTTTATCTTTTTAGATTCGTGCAGGAAGTTTGTAAGTTATATTGGGTTTCTATGCTCGATTTAAGTGTATTATCAAAAATATACTTTTTAATAAAAATCTGAGCAACCATCATAGGACCTACAGAATCAGCAGCATAAACTATCTATTCCATGTCCTGTGGTTTCAGAAAATATATTGTTTGTTTGGGGCTTGAAAGTTTTTTACAAACTCTGAAAGCTGGTAAAAAGTGAAAATTGCAAAAATGTTCTGGCCACCTGAGGTGAAAAATGGGAGAGCAGGGACTGGCAGCATCAGGGTTAAAATGTTAACTGTATACATGTATTAGAGGTGTATTAGTATAGAAGTTTTGTGGGTTATTAATCTTAAAATATTGCCACTATCATGGCAACTAAAAAAAGGTGCAAATTCTTTAAAAAACCAAACCTCTGCTAAAATCTTTACCAATAATATATTGCTTGTTTAGAGACTAAGCTACAATGTGTACAAGAGAGTAATGCTGCTGCTACTGATCAATCAAAACACGCATTCCCTCTCTTCACTTATATTGTTTGCAGATAATTTTAAAGTTAATATTTTAGTATACATAATAATTCAATACGAACAGTCCAAAATACAGCGAGATACAGAACAGGAGGCAATCATACCAGTGTCTTTAATTCTCTGGCTTGTGTACACTTGTCCATAGGTGCCTTCTCCAATTATTCCAATGATGTCAAATTTGTCTACACATCGTTTTCCCAGCGTCGATGTCTTTCTCGTGTATTTCACCACAACGCGGCCCGCAGATCCTGTAAACCAGAAATGGAAAGCAAGTTGCCAATTACATTACGGAGACCCTGTCCAGTCCATTCAAAATTGTCACATTAGTTTATATATGCGATTCACATTTGGTTTGCATGCGATTTACTTGTAAAAGCCTCCCTGACGTTACATCTTTTAGTTAATTAAATCTTAATTAATCTACATATACAAAAGAATTGCAGCTATGACACTGGTATCTCAGAACACGACGTTTTTGGGTTTTTTTTAGAGAAAAAGATGACTGCAGAAACTTTTCAGATTGTCTCTCGCCAACTAAAAATCTGCATGCGCACCTCCGACTCATTACACCAAGTGTATGAACAGTTTTTTTGTTCCCTAACAAAGCAAATAAAAAGCCCCCCCGAGTAGCTTCTAAAACTTTTGCTTAGATTCAGGGCTCATACACACAGACTAGTTCTGAGCTGCACTTTGGTGTCCGTTTATGAACCAGCGGTAATAGATCGCTGCTCAGTTCTCCGGCATTCTCGGAGAACACAGTTCTCCTGTGAATGCAGTTTATGAAGCAGTTCTCCAAACGAAGGGAGAACGGTCTCCAAATGCTGGAAAACGGCTGATTTTACTATAATCTCTCGAGATTACAGTAAAAGGTCAGTTTGCTAAGCGGAGGTAAATTATCTCTGCTTAGTTTGCGGGTCCCTCCGATTCTCAGCTCTGGGCTGGAGAATCTGGAGGGAGAACACAGATCTCCAGTGAAGGGCTGACATGATCTCCTGAGTGTCATAAAACTGTGAATGACCAGAGAATAGCTGAGATCCGTTGAATCGCAGCTATTCTGTGTGTCATAAACGGACACCTTTATAGTTTGAAAGATCTGAATGCAGCTTTATTACAGCCAATGTGTCCGAGCACAAGGTGACATTTAGCTCCATATTTGTAAACTGTGTTGCAGGAAGAAGGAAAGTACTTCATATGCACTAGTGGGAAAAATGCTCACGGTGGTGCTGGCTAAAGCGCTCAAAGTGTAGCCCATTCCAGCACATGCACAAAATGAGAGTTTTTTGGCAGCGCATATGGCCTACAGGTATATCATTACAACTAAGCAAAGTTTTCCAAGTTGCTTTTTTAACCTACTGAGGTTACCAGTAACAAAATATATTATATATCTTTGAGTCTGAAATTGCGTGACCTGCCACAGCACCATTCTGGGCGTGAGGACCAACGGTCCACCGTCATAGTCTGGGCCTGTGGTCAGTCTTTTTGCTGCTCTCTATGTGATGC